TTTCTGTTTCCAGAAAGAGCCTCTTCACAAGAAGATCTTTTGCCTTATAATGAAACATTTTGTTGACTTTGTTGTTTAGTATACCCAAATAAAATACATCATAAGAGAAGAACTGCCAGACTTAAAAGCGTGGATGACACTACACTTGAAAGGTTAAAACACAACATAGCAATTAGCTAGTGTACGATTGCATGGAAATACACAACTCAGTGTTTCCACTCCATTCTCCAGATTTTTACACTGCAAAAAACATAAATCCAAGGTGTGACAATGCAACAGATCGTGATGTAAATGATCAGACTTCCACGCAAAAGTAAACTTCAGAGGTCAGCCTGCCTCACCCTGCTGAGGTGATGAAGCGTGGTCTCTGCAGCTCCACGCTCTGCACCAGCAGCCTTGGCTCAAAGGTCCGTATCTCCACATACCGAGGAAGAACTGCTATGATGTAGGGAGGCTGGTGCTCTGGGAACATTAAAAGAATAACATAAATAAATATTCAGATCAACCAAAATGTTACCAATCTTTGGCAAGATAGCATTATTTATAGCATTTTGCTTGTAGTATGACCAAATCGTGTCTGGCGACACCTGTAAACTCATAATAAGAAAGCAGTAGTTACCATGATGTTTAAAGGCATATAGAGGGAATATCTGATAAAAGGTGAAAAGACCTTCACACAAGATCTATAATATATCTATATTGAAAGCAGGGGGCCACATTTGTGATGAGATTTCTGGTCCTCAGGGCTATACAGGAAGGAATCTAACCAGACTGCAATCAAGTCAAGCCTGTGGTTGGATATGGGATGAAAGACACTCACAGCAAAAAGCCCAGGCCTTCTCTTCTGGTTGAGCATTTAGGACACTCTGTTAGAAATATTCTAAACGGACCATCCCTCAGCCTCTATTGCTGCTTGCCAACGCCACTATCATGACTAATTCAAAATGAGGAAATTGCAAACTGCATGAAACCACTGCTTGGAGGTTTCATTTCCCCTTCATAATGTTTCTTTCCACGTGCCAGTGAGCACAGAAAAAAAAGGCCCTTCAAAACAATGCACAAGCTTATCTGCATCTCTTCTGTCACAAAGTTCCTCAGACCTACGGTGTCTTAGTCACAGGATAAAAAAAGCTGATCTAAGACTGAGTTTTGTGTTCTGACAAGTGGAAAACAGCATCACAGCTCAGACAGCGAGGGAGGACGGGAAGAATGGGGACAAGAAAAGACAGACAGCAGCTGGATAAGAAGAATGGCAGTATTTAGACAACAGGTCTGACTGATCTGTAAACTGCTGAACAAACCAGCCCAGTCACTGTGGCAACAAGAGAATAGACTATTACTATTTACATCATCATCATCATCATTATTATCATTATTATTATCATACACTTCTTTACCAGGCTCATTTATAAAAAATATATATATATGGACATTCTGAAAACTTCACACAGATGCTGCCATTACCAAGTTCATTAATTAAGCTCTCCATTATTAAGACAGGAACTGAAAGACTTACCTAAAATGTAACAACTAGGAAAGAGAGTATTCTCAGATTATGGTCACACTTTTGCTAAAAGAATTCTACAAGAATGTATTTATATAGCACCTATCACAACAATAGTCACCTGAAATCACTTTACAGCATTAAGTAGGGACCCTAGAGTAGTAGAAAGAAGACCCTATAGGGATTCAGTGACAGCAGAAAGAAAAAACTCCCCTTTAACAGGAAGAAATCTCCTACCAGCAGTACCCGCCTCAGGGAGTGGACTGGGTGGGTGAGGGGGAAAGATAAAAGAAAAAGGATAGGGATACAAGACAAAAAACACAGACTGTAGGAGCAAGAAGACAAAAATCTAATGACGTGCAGCAGTGGTATATAAACACCTGGGGAGTGAAAAGAGGTGAGAGAACAAGCCTCAGTGTAGAACAGCATTACTAATGGATGCTTCAGGGTCAACTGATCCAGCGCCAACTATAATCTTTCATGCCACATATATTTTTAAAGCCAACTGTTTTGTAGAATTTATGAGCAAAACAAAAAAGCTATGTCACCTCGAGAAATTAAACTGTTTAGTGCTGTGGTTTCTTTATTTGGTCTGCTGAGGTTTTTTCCTTTCTTGCCTGTGAAGCTCTGGGATTTTGGGAGGAGAGTTTGTTTTCTACAAATTTGAATGCTAACATTAACAATGTCCTCGAAGAAAACAATCGATGCTCTCCCTCAGGAATTCATACACTTAAGGAAACAACAGTTATTGAAATGCATGAGTTTAGTTTCTGTAAATCGCTGGATTTTTCTGAGATTTTATTGTATATAATCTGTGAAATGAAAGTGCCCAAGAGGAAAAGAAAAAAAAAAAAAAAAAAGGTGAACATAGTTGTTTTTCACTTGGGTAAAACAACTGCCAGGGTTACACATTTTGGCAAAACATCTTTGTATAATATCTAAAAGATGAACCCACACAGAGAATTGAGGGAGGATTTTTGGCTCTTGTTTGCAGATAGCTTTGTGCCCTTTTAACTTTCCTGTCAGTTTGTATTGATATCAAGAACAAATACACTCTAACAAAGACATTATGAGTCAGAAATAGATAAATAAAGACTTGGATTGGGCTTGAGGTGGTGGTGTGTGGGTTTTCCTCTCCTTCTTTCCCTTTTAACATGCTTGGATACATGACAGCAAATTTTTAATATATTTTCTTTTCACAAGCTGATTGATTACATTAGACATAAAGCTTAAAATACAAGGACAGCGTATCAGCTGTTGTGTCTTTTTCTTACCCATTGCTATAGGGATATCTGTCCAGTTCAGGGCACACTTCTGGGTGCACACTCCCTCTTCATTAAGCACCACAGTTAGGTCATCCTGCCCAACAGCCACCTTCCCATCTGCCAGTGGAGCAACCAGAGGTTCTAATTGTTTCCCAGTGGGGAAGAGCTCTTTTATGGAGCCACGGCCATCCATCTAGTTGACAGCAAATGCAGTTTGAATGAGTCTGTGAGATTCGGAATAAAGTAATAATATCCTAGCAGTGTGTGAAACTGTTATAAAGTGCTTTACATAGACAATAAAACACTATTAGGGAGAGACATCTATATTATTAACAGACTTTCTGGATGTAGCTGATAAAACAAAAGAGAGAAGCATAAAGGAAAAAGTCTTAAAATAAACACAAAGTCAAGCCATTAAAAAGAAGACAGGAACTCATTATATAACTGTCTGCTTCTAGAAAGTGGCGTAAAAACATCACCTTCAGGTATTAATTTAACTGCTACTTAGCAAACCGGGCATAGAGATGAAAAGGGAAGATGTGAAGTATGAGAAAGGTTTCTGTGGATATTTCTTTTCTTTTGACAAGGAGTGTTTCCACACTTAAAAAGACACATTATGGCTGGAAATATCATTTTAAGTTATAAGCACATACAAGTAAGTTGAAAAGTAAAGAAGCTGCTTGCACCCCTTTTCTGTAACACATACCCGAATGAGGTAATAGTCTCTCTTGAAACCAACACATATGGAGTTTTCACACCAAGCCATTGACTTTGGAATATCTGGTGCAGCAAAGTCCCCCTGACAGACGAAACGAAAACATTAAAATGGCTAAATGTGTCAAAGCGCTGGAAAATTCTGTTAAACTTGAATCACACTATAATGAGTCACATCTCCAGTATACATTACCTGCAGCTCATGGAACTCTCTGTCCTTCCAGTAATACAGCTGGAGTTTCTTTTTCACTGCAACACACATTCTCAGCTGTTCCTCCCCTGAGCTGGTTTGCTGAGGACAAAAGGAGGCAAAATATACAATTGGTGAGAGGAAATGTGAGGCAAAATATATGTCCAGCACAGATGAACAAACAAGACAAAATATTGCAGCTACTATATAAAAAACTAAGAAAATGTTCAGGGTTTTTACATATTTAGCACAATTAAATACAAATTGTGTTTTTGGCTACGTTTACACTTCAGGTCTTGATTCTCAATTCCGATTTTTTGATCAAATCCGATTTTTTGTCTGCT